CCCTCCTGGTCCTGGTCTTGGGCCTGGTTTCCTCTGATGTGGCGCACGCGTACCGTATTTATATTGCGGGCTGTGTGCATGTGTGTGCGTGTGTGTGTGTGTGTGTGTGCGTGTGTGTGTTCGTCGTCGTCGCCGCGGGCTTGTGGTGCGCAGGGGGATCGTCGGGCGGTGTGGAGGACTACGTGGCAGTCTACGCGGCGCCCACGGATGTGGTGGTGGGGCTCACGCCGCCTCCGCAGCGGGTGGACGAGCTGGGTGCGGACAGCAAGCAGCGAGAGACCTACGCGCGGGGCATGCTCGTGTTCGAGGCCGGCTACGCGTGCCAGCTGCTGGCCCAGGGCAACCACCGCCTCCTCGAGGCCCTCTTCTGGCCGGGTCCCGCGGCCGCCGCGTTCGAGACGGTGGCCTGGCGGGAGCTCCGGGAGCTGGCGGGGCGGGGCCTCGTTGCGCTGCCCGCCCTCAACCACTACTTGGGCGTGGCGCAGGGCCAGCTGCAGACCCGGCCCCTCACCCACACGCACCTCTACCACGCCCTGCGCCTGCTCTCCGAGGCCGGCCACATCGCCGACCACCACCGCCCGCCCCGTGTCGCCCTCCCGCCCGACGAGGTCGCCTTCCTCCTCCGCGTGCGCGATGCCGGTAAGCTGGGCGACAACGCCACCGCCTTTACTCTGGCCCACCTTACAGAGCGAGCCAAGGCGCAGGCCGCCGCCATCGCCGAGCGCAAAGGAGCCGACCTGCCCCGCCGACCCGACGTCGAGCCCCTCGACCGGTGGCTGTCGGCCCTCCGACTCCTCACCTTCCTGGAGTAGGCCCGCAACACCGCCAGCCGTGTAGACACCCCCTCCACCGAGGAACACGAACAGGTGGGGTTGGGTGGGGTGGGGTTGGTTTATGGAAACAAAATAAGTTATCCTCATCGCGAGGGGATTTGTGGCTCTTGGCGGCCGGACGGGGGGCAGCTGCCTGTTTACATGGTCATGGCGCCAAACACGGGGTTGTGCCTGCAGATGGAAGGACCCACCTCGTCGTACTGCTGCTTCGTGTGGCACACCTTGTAGAACTCGGGCTGTGGGGCACACACACACGCACACAAGGTCGATTAGCAAGGGGGGCCGGGTGAGCGGAAGCACCGGAAGGATTAGTGGGGGGTCGAAGGGGCGCGTACGGTGGAGGCAAGCATGGAACCGCCGAACCAAACGGCGAAGCGCTGCATGTGGTGCGAGATGACCTTGACGTCGACGGCCTTGGACTTGATCCTGCCCTGCGAGAGCTCCTCCGAGCGCTTGATGCGGTAGTCCACGGCCCTCTTGATGTCCCTCTGCAGGCGCTTGCCAAAGTCCTTGAACATGGTCGAACCGCCGCTGAGCACGATGTTCTGTGTGTGCCACCACCGCATTGAGGTGAGCGCCGGCAACAACCAACCAACCAACCAACCAAGGAAGAGCAAGCAAGCAAGCAGGCAACGACAACACCAGGTCACATGAGGGTGGTGGGTGGTGGTGGGGGGGGTACCTTGTAGAGACCCCTGCGAGTGTCGATGGGGCAGCTCTGGATGGTCTCGTCGACGACCTTGGGGAGCGGGGTGAGGAAGTCGCTGCTGAAGATCTCCGGGTTGAAGAAGATCTCCGGGCCGAGGAACCTCTCGTAGCCGACGTCGACGTTGTAGGGCTTCTTGCCCACCGACTCGATGCCCTCGTAGGTCTTGAACCACTTGTCGGGCTCGGTGTCGTACTTCTTGAACTCCTTCACGATGTCGGGGCACACGTAGCTGAAGGTCTCCTGCACTCGCCCACCCCCCACCCCCACACGCACGCACGCAGAGCCGCGACGAATAGGGAAAAAA